TCCCTATACGAAATTTCTAACTTTAACATACAGTGCTAAGTTTTATCGAACCATACTAGAGTGAAGATATATTTAAATAGCTTGCTTAAGACTTCCTCAAGTGCACAAGACCAAAACGGATTCCTTACGATTTCGATTTACAAGCACATAATATTTCAGATTTGTCAATATAACCAACTCACATTTCAAATAGAAATCTCACTAGGGTTTCGTCAATCATTAGCCCTAGGTTTCAACAGATTCAATTCTGATCAAGAATAAAACGAATAACCAAGGCTTCGTCAATCATTAGCACTTGGTTTTGGCAAGCTCATATCACATCTTAACTAAAACAAAAATGAAGGTAAGGCCTTCAAGAAATTCCAGCAATCAAAGTTCATCACTCTTTAATATTTATAAAACCATTCAAATGGCCAAGGGCTTCATCAATCATTAGCCCTTGACAACATCAATCACTTCCAACCACAATTCAATCAAGAATTCAAACCACAAATAAGCTAAATGTTCGATCCAAGTCAAAAATTCAGTTTCATAAAGAAACAGGACATTCAAGCAGGACAGTCTACTTTGAGGAGTCACGGACAGCAGTACATATGGAGGAAAAATATGAAATTTCTACAGAACAAAGGCCCATGAATCTACTTTCAAATGCCACTGACGGCACCTTAATCGGATTTTCCTACACCAAGATATAAGCATTTTACTGAGACTGGTCAGTGAAATCCGAAAATCTGGAAACTCATTTTTCACTTGTGAAAAACTCCTTTTTCTCCTTTAAAACCATAAGACTTTTATTCAAACCATCCGTACATTTAAGTATGACATTCATACCAGCATATACCAAGGCAAATAACGCTTAATTCCAGTACTTATATTCCAGCAATTAGATGTTTATAAATCCAACTTTTCCTCGGCTAAAACATGGTTTTAGATACTCAAGTTTGTCATGCACACATTTAGCTAGCTAATTACATTTCTGGTTCAAAATCAACTTCGAATAACAACTACCTCCATCCCAAAAATCCAGAAATTTGTCCAGCTAGTCATGGATGAAGTTGCATGCATAAATTTTCTGTTTTCATTTTATTTCCTTGGTTAGCCGAGCTACCTAGCCTCATGCAAGCCTCAATCATCACGTTGTTAGCTAGATAAACATAGGTATCAACTCAGATCCTCATAATGTAGAAGATTAAGAACTACCTTTCCAATTTAAGCTCACGGTAGTTCCATTCCATCAAAACAGAATTTCTTATGCTCCTTAATTCATCATCCGAATGCACAAAATTAACATACAAAGCCATAGCCAGGTAAATCAACTAGTGATTAGTCGTATAATCCACAATACAGGCTCAGATTATCAAATTTAAATAGATTACAACTGCAATTCAGATTTCTGGTGCACAAAAATTCCATTTCACTAAATCAGAATTTTTTTCCAGGTTCCTGATTCCATCATCCAATCACATAACTCCACATGCAAGGCCTTAATTGTATAAATCATCCAAGTTTCAGTTAACTAATCATAATCTCGGTTGCTTATCATCACAACAAAGCAGATTACATCATGCAATTCTTAAATCAGTTTTCGGCCAACCATTTCCTTATCAAAACAGAATTTTCTTGAGCCTTAACATCATCATCCGAATCTAGCTTCCACATGCAACACCTTAATCTACTTAATCATTCACTTTTTATTTAAATAATCATGACCTCAACCTCGGATCATCAGAATTGGACAGATTAGAAACTGCATTACTCTATTAACCTCTCAACTTCATCATACAATTTCTTAGCTAAACAATGAACATTTCCAGTTCAAGAGTTGAATTTAAACAACTGTTATAATCTTCAAAATTTCCAGGTTCAAATTCACGGCAGTTCACAAAGAAATTTCCAGCAATTGTATGTTCTTAACTCCAACTTTTCCTTGGCCAAAGCAGGGTATTCGTTACTCAAATTCAACATGCAAACACTTAGCTAGGTAATTAACATCTCTCGGTCGAAATCAGATTCAATTAACAACTACAAACATCCCAAAAATCCAGGAATTCATTCGGCTCTTCTTGGATAATCTTGCATGCAGCAGATTTTCTTGTTTATTTTTGTTTCTAGCTTAGCCGGACCAAAACACTTCATGCAAGGCTTAATCATTTAATTTTAATTAGTCAAACACCTAACCAAGTGGAAGTCAAACACGTTCCAGCACATTTCATGCTAAAATACCCAAGCAATTTCCAAAACAACTTCAACGGCTAATCTGGAAAAATTAGTTCAGCAGCCCAGAAATTTTCTAATAAGTTTTCCAGCCATGCAACCGAAATTCCTAGCCATAAAGTTCACATGCAACACTAAGTAAGGAACTTATCTATCAGGTTGATCCAAGATTAAGCTCAAATCATCACACCCAACAAATTAAAAACCAAAATTTCCAGCTCAAGCTCTCGGCAGAAACAAATTCTTACGCATATCAGATTTTCTTTCCTAACCCACTCATCCGGCTGTCCAAACTCAACATGCACGGCTATATCTAGCTTAAACCTCTTGTTTTTGGTTGGTTAATCACATAGTTAAGCCCAGATTGTCACGGGGAAACAAAATTAAATCTGCATCTCCATCTCTGTTTCTCGGCAACATCATTTTCTCCCAAAATCAGATTTCTCATGTTTTAATTTTATCATTCGAATGCACAAATCCCACATGCAAGTTCTTAAACACTACCATCTACCTCTAATAAGCTACTCTAAAATCAGAATCTACCTCTGCTGAAAGCTTGTACGCGTGACCGAACAGAAATTCTATCTCTCTTCCTCTCGGCTTGCTTGCGGCTGAATGGTTGTCCTGTTGATGTTGCAGTTGCGATGGTGTGGCGGTTAGAGAATGGTTTGCAGCTGGTTGAGGGTACAGTCAGGAATGAAGCTCACGTAGTGTCCCTCTCCTTTCTCCCCTTTAGCTCACGGACAGAAACAGAATGGTTGCAGCTCGCGATTCCTTCCTTGTTCCAGCTTCTGATCAGGAAGGGAATGGAGCTCTCTCTCTCTCTCTCACTTCCGGTCGATGTTTACGAGGTGAAGGGTTGTGGTGATGTGAAGAGAAGGGAATGAAGCTATGAAGAGGGTGGAGTGGTGCGAGGTTAAGGAAGTTGGAGTGTAGGAATGAGCTTGAGTGTAGAGTTGGTGAATATGGGATTGGCCGAATAGGGAGGTGAGAAAATCAGGTTGTCCGGAATTTGTTGGGTTTGCATGGTGGTTTTGGTGAGATTGGGAGGGTAGTTTAGACATTTCATATTGCCCTCCTAATGACCACTTAAGACCCCAATTCCAATTTAACTCCAAAAATTATTCCGAACGTAAATTAAATTCCTAATGATGTACTAATCTTGCAAGGCTTCTATTATCGAAAAATTTACGTCCCTCGAGTAGTTGGTATACTTGTATTATTTCTTGTCTAAAATTTGTCGGCTTTATAGTTTTAACGTTATTCACTAATTAAAATCTATTATTGGACATTAAATACTTTATTTTAAGGTAGTAAGATTAATCGGCTCAAGTAACGTTGATTTAGCGTAATGGAGACTAAGTGTTCTAACGTTTTATGTTAAGGCGATAAAATTATTCTAATTCCAAATGTATTAATATATTTAAGCAAAACCAAGAAATTTCATAACTTAGAAAAATTATATTAGTTCCCACATGAAAAGTGTTTTTAAGTACTTATCTGCAAACAAGTGAAAGTAATGCTAAAATTACTAATGAATTAAAAATGCAAGTGAAATACGAAATGATATTTGTATATATTTTCAGGGTTCTCATTTATAAGCTAATTCCAACATTTTTACTTCAAATGAAATTTGTTAGCCTACCAGTATTTTATTCTTGCAAAGGTTCAATTATCGAGATTTTAATGTTCTGGATGTAATTGTAAAGGATTTCCGCTAACACTTAATATTATTAACGCTTAGACTTGGCTATCGGAACTCAAAGAATTATCTTCAAGGCATTAAAATAATTTACGCCAAAAAGTATTAGTTTATAATGGCAAGGATCAAATAATTTTAATATTTTGCACAATTAAGCTGTTTGTAGCATAAAACTACTTTTACGTACTTAATTAAAATCAAATAAAGAGAAATATGAAGTTTATTAACAGTTTAAAAATGCAGGTGCAATTCATATATTTTATATTATGTATTTATATATATATATATACTTTTCCCTTGCTTGTTTAAGAACGAATAAGGTTAGGAGTAGGATTTCTTACAAGTCCAAGATGCAAAGGCAATACATAAGTACACCTTTATTTTTATACGTATATATATCTGTAGGCATATTTTCGAGGTTCTCACAAATGTGGTTTTCTTTTGATCTTCCGGTGCAATTACTATTTGATTGTATCCTGAAAAATCATCCAAGAAATAATAAAATTCATAACCGGTCAATCTTTCTACCATTTGATCAAGAAAAGGTAGAGAGAAGTGATCCTTTCTAGTGGCTGCATTCAGTTTTCTATAATCAATACAGACTCGCCACCCAACCACAACTCTAGAGGGAATCATTTCATCATTTTTACCATGTACTATGGTTATTCCCCCCTTTCTTTGGCACTACATGAATAGGAGAAATCCAAACATTATCAGAAATTAGAAAAATTATACCTGCGTCCAACCATTTAAGGATTTCTACTCTTACCACTTCTTTCATATTTGGATTTAACCTTCTTTGAGTCTCAACCACCGGTTTAGAGTTTTCTTCCAACAAAATTCTGTGCATACAAATAGTTGGACTAATTCCTTTGATATCAGAAATCGTCCATCTTATAGCCTTTAAATGTTTCCTCAGAACATGTAAGAGCTTGTCTAGTTGTTCCTCATCTAGTGCTGCATTGACAATTACCGGCAATGTCTCTTTTTCTCCAAGAAACGCATATTTGGGGTGTTTAGGCAGTGGCTTAAGCTCAAGCTGTGGAGCTTGCTCACACGATGGTGGAGGTAGCCCTTTGCTCAGTTATAACTCCTCATATGCATTTCTCCTTTTATAAGGAACCTGTGCCTGCAAAAATTCAGTCATTTCTGCAACTTGCTCCTCTTGTAAACATACACCATTAAGACAAAGTTCAAGAGAATCATCATCAAAATTAACTTGACTCATCTCTAATGCCAATTCATCACATATGTCAACAGAATAAATATGGTCAGTAAAAGAGGGATACTTCTCCATTTTACTCAAATCAAACTCCACTTCATTTTCACCTATTTGGAACTTGAACTTACCACGTTTAACATCTATTATTGTACCTGCGGTGGCCAGAAATGGCCTACCAAGTATAATAGGTATATTTACATCTTCCTCCATGTCTAAAACAACAAAATCAACAGGAATAATGAATTTCTGCACTTTAATGAGCACATTCTCTAATATGCCCATTGGATGTCTAATAGACCTATCAGCCAATTGCAAGGAAATGTTAGTACGCTTTAACTCTTTCAACCCCAATTGCCTAGTCACAGTTAAAGGAATCAATGAAACACTTGCACCAAGGTCACAAAGTGCTTTAAAAAATTCTACATTACCAATAGTGCAAGAAACTGTGAAACTCCCTGAATCTTTCAACTTTGGTGGCAATTTATTTTGTATGATGGCACTACATTCTTCCGTTAATGCAATTGTCTCACTATCTACTAACTTCCTTTTCTTAGTCATTATCTCATTGAGAAACTTTGTGTATGAAGGAATCTGCAAAATAGCATCAACAAAAGGTATATTAATATGTAATTGTTTGAAAATGTTAACAAACTTCTCAAATTCTTTATCATTTCTCGAAGCCTTTAATCTTTGAGGGAATGGCACCGGTGGACGAATTGGTGTTGTATCTCCCATTTGTGGTTCATTTTCCTCCATCTTTTCTTTCCCTTTGATTTGCTGGCCGTCCTCTCCTAACTCACTCAACTGCTTGTTCTCTCTTCTTTCACATTCTCTCTCACATTCAACTACAGGCAACTCACCTACTTCCTTACCACTACGGAGGGTTATAACCTTCACATGCTCCCTTGGGTTCACTCAGTCTTGCTAGGTAAATTTCCTTGGTTGCGATTGTTAACTGCATTTGCAATTTGCCCTAATTGGATCTCAACATTTCTATACATATTAGTGAGTTGGTCCATCCGTCCCTCAATTCTTTCAAACCGTTGAGTAGTGGCACTGACTAACTTTTTAATTTTATCATTTGATACATTTGCTAGCTTTTCAATTGCCAATTCCCAAGCTGGTTTGGACTCCGGAAGTGGTTGCTTCGGTTGAAAACCCAGTGAATTAACTGGTCTTTGTTGGTTCCCTTGATCCTTCCATCCAAAATTCTGGTGATTACGCCATCCTAGATTATAGGTATTGGAGTATGGATTATTCTGGGGTGGACGGTTGTAATTGTTGAGATATTGAACCTGTTTGCTGCTAGAACACATAGAATCATCATGATCTCCGCCGCAAGTAGTACAACATGCAACAACTACTCCTTGATTAGAGTTAGAATCAACGTGCCTATTAAGCATCTTAACCACATTATCCATTTTTGCACTTAACATATTCAAAATATCTACTTCAAGCATACCTGCAGTTCTCCTTGTATTACCTCGTTCGTTTGCCCATTGATAGTTGTTAGCAGTCATCTCTTCAATCAATTGTTGAGCTTCCTCGGCTGTCTTTCCCATCAATGCTCCTCCCGCTGCCGCATCTACATGCGTCTTTGTTGGATAGATGAGACCATTGTAAAGTGTTTGGACTACTAGCCAATCTGGTAAACCATGATGAGGACATCTTCGTTGCAATTCCCGATAGCGCTCCCAAGCTTCGTATAATGTCTTTCCTTTCTGTTGAGAGAAACTAGTTATATCCATTCTAAATTTAGCAGTTTTTCCAGGTGAAAAGAATTTATTTAGAAACGCCTTAACTAATTCAGCCCAAGTAATAAAAGTATTTGAAGGATAAAATTGTAACTAAACTTTGGCCTTGTCCCTTAGCAAAAATGGAAACAATCGAAGTTTAATTGCATCATCACTAACACCATTAAACTTAATTGTATTACAGATTTCAAGAAATGTTGACAAATGAGAATTTGGATCTTCGGTAGCATTACCTCCATATTGAAATTGTTGTACCATTTGAATTAGTGATGGTTTAATCTCAAAATTATTAGCATTTACCTTTGGTCTTACAATACTAGTTTGAGAACCTTGTGTTCCCGGTAAAGCAAAATCTCGTAGAATTCGCCTATTTGGGTCATTGTTCGCCATTTCTTCCTCAAATGGTAATTCTATCAAAATTTCCTCTATCGGCTGCAAAACCTCTTGTTCCTCTTGATGCGATGTATTCCTCCTTTGTCTCCGTAGTGTCCTCTCAATTTCAAGATCGAAAAGTGCAACTTCTCGATTTGATCGGTGCATACACTACAAATAAAAATAAGAGAAATTTTACAGTTTTAATTATTAAAATCAACGATAAACAACTTGAATAAAAACAATGGAAATATCTAAATTAATAGAGATGATTAGCCCCTAATATTGCCGCTCCCCGGCAACGGCGCCAAAAACTTGACGGAATTTCTATATCAATGCAAGTTTAAATTTCAATTTTATACCCTTTGACTGCAAGTATACAGGCCGAAATCGTAATGTAGGGTATGTATCGGGTCGATCCCATAAGAAGCAAATTATACAAGCACTAGGCTCTTATTTTTCTCTATTATTTAGATTTACAATAAATTTGAGCAAGAAAATTATAATGCTATTGTCTACAATTCTGGTTTAATCAATGTTAAATGCAAATGGAGAAATTTCACTAAAGATTGAAAAATGGGATGTAGATTCCACTTATGGCATAAACAACACAAATGACTAGATTTACCTCTTGTTATTTTTCTTGTTTGACCAAGGATTCATTTCCAATATTACTAAATCTCATTCTCATGATGAAATGGCCTAGAGCAATATAGTTTTTTCTATTTTCATGGTGAAATACTAGTTTTACTCTGTTTTCCTTCATGAAATGCTGGAAAATCCACTTTAAGTGCACATCTATTTTCATGAATATACAACTCAAGCTCTACTCATGTTTGTCCATTGTTACTATCAATTCTCATTGACTAATAACAACTATGAACATGCTATTGGTGATCAAACAACAAGAAGTAATTACAACTGCACAAATAGACAAATTAATACAAGATATAACAAGTGTAAATCACATTCAATTCATATTATTTAGCCATAAGTTTCATCTACTCCCTAGATAAAGAAAATTAGCTACTCATGAATGATTTAACAATCAAACTCACAAGTTTATCAATGCAAAACATCATAAAGTACAAGTACAAGAAAGATAGAAGAAAGCTTAGCCAATTGATGGTGAAGCCCTCCAATTTCTGCTATGTTCTTGTACAAGATGATTACAAGTGAAAACTCCAAATGCTTCTCAAAGAACTCCTAGCTAGAGAGAAACTAGTTACAAGAAGGAAAACTAGCTACGTGTGGTCCTCAGCTTCTCACTTTTGTCTCTCCTTAAAAGGTGGTAGAAAGACACCTTTTTTTCTCGTTCATGATTCCAACAACTCAAATTTTGTAAAGAAAGTCAAAAGAAATATTATTTTGACTTTCTTTAACTCATTTTGTCTTCCCTTTTGTTGTAAAAGCATGTGCCACCGAATTCACTCACTCCAAATAGCTGAAAAGTTGTGTGAAAAGTGAGAAAAAACGGTTGTACCACTTGCAGAAGAGAGAGGCAGATCCGAGTCTCGGATCCGAGTGGTGCACAAAGATCCGAGCTCAGATCAAGGCTGATCCGAGGCCTTTCACTAATGATCCGAGCTCGGATCATCTGGCCTCGGATGCATTGCTCCAGAAGTACAGACGAGGGTTCGGATCATCCTTGATTCACACGGATTCGTGCTGGTTTTTTTTCCAGTTTTTCACTTCTTTTCCTTTTTCTTCACTTTTGCTCCTAATTTCTTGTGTACTTTATCCTCTGGACGATCCTTACATTTTCTTCATCTCATGCATGAATTTCATACATCAATATCCTTCACAATTTCACAAAATTAATGCATTAATCCACTCATTTATCAAGTTTTGAACACTTAAATAATATTTAAGCAATTATTACCAAAAGAGTTCAAATATGGCTTTAATCTTCTCAAAACATACCAAAAGTTCATGCCAAAACTTGTACAAAGTATACGTTAAATATTCACTTATCACTAATCATGATTAACTGGCCATTAATTGTGATAATTTTAAGGTGTTAAGTTTGCAATGAGAATTGGGATTTAACACTAGTTTAAAGAAGTTCTAAACCTAGGAAGTTCACTCACAAGAGTAGAGGAGCACCTTTGTGGTTATAATGGCTTGTTCCATATAATTTCAGGACTATTGGCATACAATTTTTCTACTAATTCTCCTTCATCAAAAAGTTATCCATATTGACCCTTTCGCAGTTAGAGCCACCATATTTTCTCAAATAACAATCCACATAACTTTCAACTAATAAATCATGCATTTCACAATTTTCTTTATGGTAAAAATTTTCACCATTGACAAATTCTCTCTCCATGGCAACTCAAAACAATTTACGTACCTTCACAAAATATTTTTTCCTTGCTTGAATGTTTTGGCATACCTGTTTCAAGTTTGATCAAACACCATTATGACAATCAATAATCTGGTAGGACATTTTTTTACACAACACCAACAATCTCAGCAAAGTCCCTCTTTTTAGACCTCTATATCACTTTTTCCTAATTCCAATCAATGAACGAGACGAGCACTCTAAGACCAACTCTCGTGGCTCAATTTTCAATATACGAGTACTGTACTGCAACCTCTGCACCTTCTATGGCATAGATTACTTTATCACAAACTCTACACGCCCTTCAGAGACCACAGATACTCCAGGATCAAACTCTTAAATTTAGAACTCTGATACCACTTATTAGCACAAAAAATCATGCACTGGAAGTAAATATATCATGCTAAAATATTAGATGATGAATAATTGATAAACCAAGAAATAACTCACAATATCGATCGAGCCATGGACTTTGATTAGTCACCAAAACATGAAAAAAAAAGAGTAAGAGTAAAGCTATTGGCTAATTAATCACAAGACCAATGGAGAAGGTATGGGAGGAATTAACAACTACTATTCTATTGACAACCAAATTTCCTCAACCTACAAATGTAGGACTTCAAGTCCTTAAATAGAAAAAACATAACCATGAATCTTAATCTAATTATAATAGCAAAACATAACTGAATTATATTTCCTAAACTAATTGTGATACCAAATCTAATATAATGAAATAACAAATCAATTTCTAAAACTATTAAAATTCTAAATACGCTTGATTTAAATAATCAACAATGCTTCCCTTAAATTAAGTTCTTGATGTTGCCATCATGAGATTTAATCTCCTTTGCAATCTCTAGTAGTGTAACTCAAATGCAATTCCAATTTGCAACAGATACCTATCTGTATATTTATGGATGCAAGTGGACTTGATAAGTATGCATTTTGAGTATTTAAGTATGTTTTATTATTTAGTTTTGGTGTGTTTTATTAGTCAACTTTGATTAGTCACAAAAACATGAAACAAAAGAATAAGAGTAAAGCTATTTGTTGATTAATCACAAGACCAATGAAGAAGGCACCGGAGGAATTAACAACTACTATTCTACTGATAACCAAATTTCCTCAACCTACAAACGTAGGACTTCAAGTCCATAAATGTAAAAAAACATAATCATAAATTCTATTTGTAAGGCCCGAAAACAACCAATGAGACAATTAACAAGAAAGCAAGGCTGCTTGGGAGTAGAAGAGATAATCAATTTAAAGAGCACAAACGTAACAGT